GGGGGCGGCGCGTGTTGGGTGGCCCCCTGCCACTGCAACCAGCAGTCACTCTACACGGACACCACCTGCGAGATCAACTATTCAGCGGTGAGGGAGGCCAGGACCTCTGGGTGTGGGCAGGGCGGGCAGCAGGGTAGAGCCTGGTGCCGTAAAAGCCCACCAGGGCATGTGTTCCGGGGAACAGAGCCCGATTCCCGGTGGGGGCCCTGCGTGTGCTACGGCGAGGGCCGCTACGAGGGCCAGTTCTGCGAGTACGACAACTTCCAGTGCCCCCGCACCTTCGGCTTCCTCTGTAACGGTGAGCTCAGCAGCGTGCCCGTGCCGAGAGCGGGGCCAGGAGGAGAGGGGGACCCTCCCTCCCAGACCCAGGCTGTCCGAATCCCCCAGTTCAGGCCCAGCCCCACTCCGGAGCTGAGAGCCTCCCCCAAGGCCTGCCCGACTTGGCTCTTGCTTCCTCACGCTGGACATTGTTTTAAGACCCCAGCTCCTTCAGGGTCTCTCCCATAGCTCAGGCCGGTACCCACCCCCCTCTCACTCCCCACCTTATTAGGGTGGGTACCACCCAGCTCGGCCCTTCATGGTGGGTTGGAATATGACAGGGTAATCTTTCTCCTCCCTGAAGATGCTAGATTTCTATGAGCAGGAGTTAAGAGCCCTCCGGATCCTCACTGGGCTTAGTTGGACTCAAGCCATGGGCACGTAGTCTGAGCGAGGGTCACAGAACTCAGACAAGGGAGGCGGAATGACTGGGCTGAATGAAAGTACACTCATTGAATACTTAATTAACCCTCACTATATACTCACTGCCGGAGGCCCAGCCCCTGCTTTCCACCCTTTCGTCCATGGTTGCTTTTGTCCACCATTTCTTCTCTTCGACTGTCCACCCCAGAGTGTGCTCGAAGAAGTGAAAGGGAGAGAAGCAGACAGTTGGTGCAGTGGCGGTGTGAGAGGGGAGCAGAGGGGATGCTGCTGGGGAAGAGGCAGGGCCACAGTGCCAAGGGTGGGACTGGAGTCCAGGGCAGGACTTCATCCTTTAGGTAAAAGAGAGCCATTGGAGGTTTAAATTTCATTTCCTAATTGTATGGTAGTCTTGTATCTAGCCACCTTGTTAAACTCACTAAAAGAAATCTAACTATTTTTCTATAGTTATCCATATTCTTATGGATATTTTGTGACATGTTCCTGATACCTGCAAATAATAATAGTTTTACAAATCCTTACACATTTTATTTCTTTTTCTTACCTTATTGCATTGGCCAGGGCTCAGTAAAGGTTCTTAAATAGGGGAACCACATGACTGGATTTATAGTTTGGGATCATCAGTCTGACAATAAAGACAGAAGGTGGAATGGAGGGAGAGAGTTGGAGGGAAGGAGATTCCAGGAAAGCAAGGAAGAGATAGACTTCCTGTCTGGAAATTGCCTGGCTTCCACAGGCCCTGCCAGGGGCAGCCAGGACTGCAGGTATGAATGGACTGCCTCTCCTCTCTTCCCTGCCCCTCTCTGCAGACCGGGGGCGCTGCTCCATGGGCGAGTGTGTGTGTGAGGCTGGTTGGACAGGCCCAAGCTGTGACTGTCCCCTCAGCAATGCCACCTGCATCGACAGCAATGGGGTAGGCTTGGGCATGGGGCAGGCAGTGTGGGTGGCAGTGAGGGCAACCCACCCTTGCAAGAGAGAACCCAATGGAGAGAGGGGAAGGGATCAGGCAGGGATGGGGCACAGATGCTCACTGGTTTCCTCCTACCCAGGGCATCTGTAATGGGCGTGGCCACTGCGAGTGTGGCCGCTGCCACTGCAACCAGCAGTCACTCTACACGGACACCACCTGCGAGATCAACTATTCAGCGGTGAGGGAGGCCAGGACCTCTGGGTGTGGGCAGGGCGGGCAGCAGGGTAGAGCCTGGTGCCGTAAAAGCCCACCAGGGCATGTGTTCCGGGGAACAGAGCCTGGAAGGGCTGACGTGGCACCATGCCCATCTGTCCCTCTCCCTGCCCAGATCCGCCTGGGCCTCTGTGAGGACCTGCGCTCCTGCGTGCAATGCCAGGCCTGGGGCACAGGGGAGAAGAAGGGGCACACCTGCCAGGATTGCAGCTTCAAGGTCAAGATGGTGGACGAGCTTAAGAAAGGTAACAGGAGGGGCCAAGGGCCAAGTGCGAAGGGCCCAAGCAGGGGGCACCCAGCAGGGCAGGGCCACTCACCCGGCAGGGGACCTGCAGCCTGTGTTGAGGTCGCATGGCCTACACGGTTCTGCATGGGGCAGCCAAGTCCAGGAGGGGATGAAAGGTCTGGGCAAGAGGCACAGGATGGGCAGTGACCCCAGCACACAGCCAAGTGGGAGCAGAAAGCTGGGGAGGTGTCACCTGGCTTAGCGGGTTTGAGACACAGGGGCCCGAGGCCCAGACAGGCCAGGCTTGGGGGACAGCTCCCCTCCTCTAGGACACCAGGGAAGTGGGCAGAGGCAGAGAGGTCTGCAGACTCTGGTGCCCCAGGGCAGCCCCCTCCTCACCTACCCCTACACCTGGGCTCATTCTTCCCCAGGGAGGTGCCTTGGGCCCTATGGTGGGTGGAGTGGGTCCCAGCACAGGGGCACCTCGGGGGCCCTGGGACTGCGGGGCGGGCGCTCTGCTGACCTCCACCTGTGGCACAGCGGAGGAGGTGGTCGAGTACTGCTCCTTCCGGGACGAGGACGATGACTGCACCTACAGCTACACCGTGGAGGGCGATGGCGCCCCCGGGCCCAACAGCACCGTCCTGGTGCACAGGAAGAAGGGTGAGCTGAGCTGGCGGGCAGGACAGGCAGGACGGGCAGGCAGCTGTGCAGCCTGCACACTGGCGTGATGGCAGAGTCTCCTCCCTGTCCCCCTAGACTGCCCCCCCGGCTCCCTGTGGTGGCTCATCCCCCTGCTCATCCTGCTGCTTCCGCTCCTGGCGCTGCTGCTGCTGCTCTGCTGGAAGTACTGCGCCTGCTGCAAGGTGAGAGCTGTCCCGACCCCAGGCCACACCCCGTGTAGTGCACACCCCAACATAGTGCACACCCCACCATAGTGCACACCCCCACCTGAGTGCACACCCACACAGTGCACACCTCACCATAGAGCACACCCATATAGAGTATACCTTGCCATAGTGCACACCCCCACCTGACTCCACACCCCACCATCATCCACACCCCTTCATAGTTCACACTCCACTGTAGTGCACACCTACCATAGTGCACACCCCCACCTGAGTCCACGCCCCACTGTAGTGCACACCACACTGTAGTCCACATCCCTGCCTGAGTCTACACCCCACCATACTCCCCACCTCATTGTAGTCCACACCCCCACCTGAATCCACACCCCAACATGGTGCACAGGAGTGAACGTGGTGCCGCCACGTGGGCTGCCACTTTGCAGTGCGGCTGGCAGGCCCAGGGTTCAGCCACAAGTATGGAGAGCCTCTGTCTTCATCCTCTGCCCACCTGTGTCATGCCTGGGTCCCCACAGCCCAGGTACCCCAGGTTCTGTGGAGACACAGTCACCCCTCTGTGCCTTTGGCATGGGCGGGGAGTGGCCAGAGGAGCTGACCGGGGCTGGGCAGCTGTCCCGGCCCTCACCCCACCCACCTTGTTCCCTAGGCCTGTCTGGCGCTTCTTCCTTGCTGCAACCGAGGTACAGGCCTGGCATGGGTGGGGCAGGAGGCTGGGGATGGGGAGAAGTGGGGGAGCCTGGAACAGTTGAGGCACCTGATGGGGTGGGCTGGTGGCTGTGAGGGCCTCTGAGTGGAGCACCTGTCCCGCAGGTCACATGGTGGGCTTTAAGGAGGACCACTACATGCTGCGGGAGAACCTGATGGCCTCGGACCACCTGGACACGCCCATGCTGCGCAGCGGGAACCTCAAGGGGCGGGACGCCGTGCGCTGGAAGATCACCAACAATGTGCAGCGGCCAGGCTTTGCCACCCACGCCGCCAGCACCAACCCCACGGAGCTGGGTGAGGGTGGTAGGGCTCGGGCCCTGGCAGTGCTCTGGGACCTCTGTCGGGGGCCTGGGATCACAGTTTTCTCCGGCTGTTGGAGGCAGGCCAGCCTCAGGTTCGGCGTCCTGGCCCGCACCCACCAGTTGGCCATTGCCCCCTACTCCCAGCATGCTTCCTGGGGGGTACTCTGCTGGGCCTGCCACGCAAGGGCTGACGGCAGCCGTCCCCACCTTCCCTAGTGCCCTACGGGCTGTCCTTGCGCCTGGCCCGGCTTTGCACTGAGAACCTGATGAAGCCAGACACTCGAGAATGTAACCAGCTGCGCCAGGAGGTGGAGGAGAACGTAAGGCCGAGGGCGGAGCCTGGAGGGAGAGGGGCTCCCTGGACGCTTGCCTGGCAGGGCCCCTCCGCACTTGCCCTCCGAAGGGCTGGCTCTCGGGGCAAGGGGTGGTGACCTGCTGGTCCCAGGGCCCAGCCTCACTGCCCACCCTTGCCTGCAGCTGAACGAGGTGTACAGACAGATTGGGGGTGTGCACGGGCTCCAGCACACCAAGTTCCGGTGAGGCCCGGGGGCCCCGGGGTGGGACAGGGGGACTTTCACCCTGCTGGCCTCGGGAGCACAAGCCCCATGCGGACTGTCTGGTCACAGTCCCTGCTCTGCCACTCTGTCCCCTACAGGCAGCAGCCCAACGCCGGGAAAAAGTGAGTTGGAGCTACACAGGTGGGAGAACCCCTCCTCCTGCCCTACCCCTCTGGGGGCTTCGCACCCTCCTCACCCCTTCTGTGACCTTCTTTCAACAAGTACTGATGCAATGCGCACACTGGACTCAAGCAGGCAAACCCCAGCAGCCCTCCCTGCCCTGGGGCTGGCCAGAGCCCCCAGTACTGGGGCCTGAGCCTGGGCACCTCTGGGTACCAGGCAGGTTGCTGAGAAAGCGGATCAGCAAGCCCACACCCCCTCGGCAGCCCCCCACATCCCGGCCCTTCAGTGGTGGGGCCTCCAGGCAGAGGACAGAACCAGGAACAGCCCGTCAGCGTCTGTAGGGACAGCCCCGCATGCCTTGAGCACTCGCAGTGGGCCACTCAGGTGGTGCCCTCACCCGGCCCTCTCCTTAGCCCCACGAGCTCAAAACCCTTGCCATTCCCACCTTACACATGGGGAAGCTGAGGCTCAGAGAGGCCAAGTAACTTGCCTAAGGTTACCCAGCTGTCAGACCAGAGCCAGGACTTGAGCCCAGGCAGCAGAGCTCCAGAGCCCACTCCCGGCACCTTCGCTGTCCTGCAGCCACACATGTCACCAGCCCTTCAGAGTGCAGGGCTAAGGTGGGGGTGAGGGTGATGGGTCAGCTCGGGCCCTGGCACTGCCTGGGGACCCTGCACGTTTTGCTCTCTGGCATCTCAGCCTGACGGGGAGCGCACAGCAGGGGCCGGGCAGCAGCCTTACGCTTCCCCGCCTCTCCCTAACCCCCACGCGGACCCAGGCAAGACCACACCATTGTGGACACGGTGCTGATGGCGCCCCGCTCGGCCAAGCAGGCCCTGCTGAAGCTGACGGAGAAGCAGGTGGAGCAGGGCTCCTTCCAGCAGCTCAAGGTGTCCCCCTGCTACTACACTCTCATCGCCGACCAGGGTAGGTGCGCGGCTCCCCGGACGTGTCCCCAGACCTCCCACCACAGGAGGGACAGGTGGGACGGGGCCGTGCCCTGTGACCCACATCCGACCACCCCCAACACCACACAGATGCCCGGGGCATGGTGGAGTTCCAGGAGGGCGTGGAGCTGGTGGATGTGCGGGTGCCCCTGTTCATCCGGCCTGAGGACGACGACGAGAAACAACTGCTGGTGGAGGCCATCGACGTGCCCGTGGGCACCGCCACCCTGGGCCGCCGCCTGGTGAACATCACTGTCATCAAGGAGCAAGGCGAGTCAGGACTGGGGGCGGGAGGCCGGGCTCCAGAGCACGTCGACCCTCCTGGTACCGGCCCAGAGGGGGACCGGCTGTGAGGCCTGGGCCAGTCACTCAACCCCTGCAAGCCTTGGCTCCTCCATGTGTAAGATGATACAGCCTTAGTGAGGAGTCCATGGCAGCCCGTGTGCAGGCCCCATAGGAGGTGCCCAGGGGAGCCTCTGGGCACCGCTGTGCCAGGAAGACGCCACCCCTTCCCCCTTGCTGCCGAGGGCAGGGGCTGGCCAGGCATGCAACATGGAACTGGGGTGCTGTGTCAGCCCCCCAGCCCACCCAGGGGCCCTGTCCTGGCCCTGAGCCCTCGCCTCACTGCTCCAGGGCCCACAGCCATTGGCTGGCTCTGCCAATCAGTCTCTGGTCCTGCCTTGCCCTTCTCTGTCCTAACCCTTCCAGGTGCCTAGCAAACACTTCATCCCAGCCCCCCAATCCTGGAAGGCCGTCCCACTGTACTTCTCTGTCCCTGGGGTGGGGACAGGGACAAGTGGACTCCTAGAGGCTGGGCCGGCCTGGGCAGGGGCTGGGCCCGGGGAGCTGGAGCGGAGAAGCAAGGCCAGGACGCTGATGGCACCCACCCTGGGCTTCCTTGCAGCCAGTGGGATGGTGTCCTTTGAGCAGCCTGAGTACTTGGTCAGCCATGGGGAACAAGTGGCCCGCATTCCAGTCATCCGGCGCATCCTGGACAACGGCAAGTCGCAGGTCTCCTACCGCACGCAGGACGGCACCGCACGCGGCCACCGGGTAAGACTGCGCTGTGGAATGGGGGCACCTCTCAGGCCCGGGTGCTGGGACACAGCGGCACAGATGCTGACGGCGCCCTGCTGGGCCCCAAGACATGTCCCCCGGCTCCTGCCTCACTCAGGTGCCAGGACACCATGGTGAGGCCTGCAGGTACAAGCCCCGGGGCTGCTTCCTCCTCTGTGAGCCAGGGACCCACCCACAGCCCACGCCCCTCAGGGCAGCCACACCTTTCCTGGAGAAATGCCTCCCCACCCCCCCGGGCTTGGGCCTCTTGAGCTGGCACGAGACCCCATAACCGGGGCCTGGCTGCCCTGGACCAGGGGAGGAGCAGCCCTCCAAGGCAGGCTCACTATGCTGTGTCCTGCTGCTCTTCCATTGCTGGGCCCCAGTGGCAGGGCTCAGCCTTGTCCAGGTTTTTTCATTTTGTTTTGAATTCTGAATTTTATCAAAAATTCTCTCGGGACCAGCAGATGGCATAATGGTTATGTCACTGGACTCTCATGTAGTTGACCGTGGTTTCATTCTCAGACCTGGAGGCTTAAAACTCGCACCGGTGTGCGTATGTGCCCAAAGTCCCGAGAGGAGAATGGAGGAGAAGGGACTGCAGCATGACCATCGCCCCTCGGGGGTGATTTCTTGCTTTCTGTCTCTCTGTCTCTCTCTCTTTCTCTGGTGAATGCACATGCCCTGTAGCCAAAATCTCTCTCCAAAAAAATTTGTTTTAATTCTCTCAAAACCAATGAAGTAGGGCCAGCAGATGGCATAATGGTTACATCGCTGGACTCCTACATGGCCATCCGCAGTTTGAGTCCTGGCCCCAGTGACTTCAAACTCACGCAGAGAAGGGATTGTGGTGTGGCCATCCCCCCAGGGGGTGATCTCTCGTTCTGTCTCTCTGTATCTTTCTAGTGAGCACACATGCCCTATAGCAAAAAGCTCTCAAAAAACCAAAAAACCAGTGAAGCTGGCCCAGCCACAGTGGCACGGGTGGTGATTCTGGGATCCTTATGGGAAGGTTCAGGTTGGTGTCCCAGGACTGCTAACCACGCCATGTCCGTCCGCAGGTGGGTGTGTCGTGACCCTGACTGGTCACAGGATAGCCATGGGCCTCTCTCTCCCTCAGGAAATACATGAACTCAATAATAAAGCTTGGCCCCACAGGTCCATTTGGCACCCACAGAAGAGCGTGCGCTCGGCCGGCCCAAGCAGCCAGGCCGCACCGCTTTTCTCGATGTGTCTGTGTTGGTGGGGACGGTTCTCATTACTCCCAGCGCTCCCCACAGATTCCAGAGCAGGGTTTGAATGTCCCTAGTTCCAGTGATAGGCACACTGCGCTGGAGCATAAAGAGGCTTTGGTGTTTAACTATTTTTTCAGTTTTATTTTTTTCTTCTCTGTTCTGAAAACCTTCCAATGTACAGAAAATGGAAAGACTAATAAAATTAGCACCCATTGACCCTTTACACGGACTCCAGTTCTTCGTTTGCTTTCTCCCCTCTCTGTGTCCACGCCAGCATCTAAGTGGGAGTCTCTACACCTGTCTATGCAGGTGCAGGCATCACGTGGACGTGTCTGATTCTCCGCGTGTGCGTGTGCATGTGTATATGCAGGAGGGAGCAGAGTTGAGTTGCAGGCCACACATAGACCTGAAATCTCTCATAGGTGAGGTCGACAGGTGGCGTGGTGGTTAAGGCACTAGATCCCACGAGGCCAACTTCACAGTTCGAGTCCAGGACCCAGTGGCCGGAAAATCACTCCACGCACATGTGTGTGCATGCCCAAAATCTCAAGAACAGAATGGAGGAGAAAGGACGGCAGCATAGCTATTTTCCCTGGAGACGGGGTAGAATTCTCACTTTCTTTCTGTCTCTTTCTCTCTCTGGGGTGTGCGTGCACCCTATGGCAAAAATCTTAAAAACATAAATAAATAAAACTTTTATGGGCACCTCCTAACAAAGTCAGTCTTCTATATCAACTATGTAATTACCAAACTTAAGAACTGATTGTAGAGCGACCAGCAGTTGGCATAATGGCTATGTTGCTGGACTCTCACGTAGTTGACTGCGGTTCAAGTCCCGGACTTGGTGGCTTAAACTCACACCAAGATCCCAAGAGGATAATGGAGGAGAAAGGATTGTGGCAGGGCCATCCACATGGGGGTGGGGGTGGGGTGATTTCTTGTTTTCTGTCTGTCTGTCTCTCTCTCTTTCTGGCAAGCGCACGTATCCTATAGGAAAAACCTCTCCAAAAAAAAAAAAGAAGAAGAAGAATTGATTGTAGGGGCTAGCAGATGGCATGATGGCTAAGGCGCTGGACTCCCACCTGGTTAACCACAGTTCGAGTCCAGGCCTGGTGCCTTGGTTTCACATTCTCTTTCTTTCTCTGGTGAGCACACATGCATGCATGCCCTGTAGCAAATTTAAAATAATAATAATGATAAATACATTAAATAGGTAATTATTTTTTAAAGAATTATTTTATTTGACTTTATTAATTTATTTAATTTGACCAAGAAGGACAGACAGAGAGAGAGGAAGTGAGAAAGAAAGCTGCCAGGTCCAGGACTCGAACCACAGTTGGCCATGTGGAAGTCCAGCACCCTTAACCACCATGCCACCTGCTAGCCCCTAAATAAGTAATTCTTTAAAAAATAAATAAAATACTTTGGCTGCTACCAGTTGCTGGGCTCCCATGTAGTTGACCATGGTTTGAGTCCCAACCTGGCGGCTTAAAACTCACGCCGGCTGTGTGAATGCATGCCCAAAGTCCCGAAAAGAGACTGGAGAAGGGACTGTGGCATGGTCATCCCCCCTCAGGAGGGGGTGGGGGTGATTTTTCACTTTCTGTCTCTCTGGCTAGCACACATACCCTATAGCAAAAACTTCTCTCTAAAAAGAAAAAGAAAGAAAGAAAGAAAGAATTGATCGTATTGATTCCTATTAATTAATTAGTCCCAATATTATTATACCTTTCCCCCCAGTCTAGAACCTGTCATTACATTTTGCTGTCACCTTAATTCCCTGGTTTGCCTTTGGGGACATTGACATTTTGTTTGTTTTTAAGGTTTTTGTCATAGGGTGCATGTACTTGCCAGAGAAAGACTGTGAGAAAGTGAGAAACCAACCCCCAGGGCGTATGGCCACACTGCAATCCCTTCCCGCTGGGAATTCTGGCATGTACACACATGTGCCAGGCCCGGGATTCAAACTGTGGAATTTACCATGTGGGAGTCTAGCACCTTAACCACAACGTCACCCGCTGGCTTAAGGACACTGACATTTTCAAAGTGTCCACATCAGTTTCTTGCAGACAGCTCCCCATCTTACACCTGTGGCCTCACTCTGAGGCATTTGAATCTGCTCCCCCAGGGGCTGGCCTAGAATTGAAATGTGAGTTTGATGCGCCACCTAGTGGTCACATCGGAGTTTTTCCCCTCCAGGTACAGCTGGGATTCATTCTCTCCTCTCTCAGCCTGGGATGCTCAGGCAAGCTCCGAAACGTGGAAAGAAATGTGGAGATAGTGGAAGCACCCTCAACCCCATAAATCAGGGTCTGGGGCCCCGGGGGGCAGCCCAGAGTTCAGGGACACAGTGGCGTGGGGGGCAGTTCTTCTCTGCCCCAGGTGCAGCGGTGGGGGGCTGTGAATCCCAGCTCTCCAGGGCTGCCCACTGCTGGTGGGTGGAACTGTCTC